ACTGAGGGCAAGATGGGTAGAGCCCAAGGGTTCAGGACAATTCTAGAGGAAAGCCTGTTGTGATCCGGAAGGGTCCAGTTACTGGGTGCAGGTTCCTCTTCCAGCAGGGCAGTGACCCTAAACATGCAACTGAAATAACACTGGAGTGGTTTAAGAACAAGAAACTGAAGGTCTTTGATCGTTGCAATCAATGTCCAAACCTCAGTCTGAGACAAGACTTACAAGCTGCCAGTCACCGGCAGCCTCCATCTAAGCTGAAAGAGTCAGAGCAGTTTTGCCCAGAAGCATGGGCAAACACTGCTGGATCCAGATCCACAAAGCTGAGAGGGACTTACCCAAGAAGTCTCACAGCTGCAACTGCAGCCAAAGGTGCTTCTACCAAGTATGGATTCAGGGGACTGAATGGTGATGCAACCAATGAGGGCCAGTTTGGTTGTGTTCACTTAACTTCTGTGCCACTATAAAAAAGACTGTGAAATTTCCCAGTGTTGAACATCTTGTGTATGTCAAGTGGAAACAAGGCTACTTAAACCCATTTCAATTCCAGATTGTAACACACCAAAGTGTGGGAAAGTCCAGGGGGGTGAATACTTCTGTAAGCCATGGTACATAAATAATCATCAAAAATTCATACGCTTCAATCTTTTTTTGCATCTTCTGCTCAAACGACTGCTCAACAGACACACTGCATACCTAAAGCAGCAGAGAAATGCCTACCATCTGTGCTGTCCATGGCAACCTTCCCCCACTCCCTTGCACTGCACAGGCCCCAATGGTGTGGTGGGACTGAGAAGTCTAGCTGGCTGAGCGCAGACCACCTCTTCATCCCTATTTCTACAAGACTAATGAAAGAGACCACTGATCATTTCTTGCTCTTCAGCTCACAGCTAGAGGGCACTCCTGAGTAATCCAGGCTACAGAATGGACCATCCTGACCCCTCCTTTGGAAGGCTTTCCCTACCTTTGCAGGTAATTGCATAGGGAAAAAAAGTGGCTCCTGGGGGATCGTTCTGAACAGGTGTAAATTACTGCCATCACTAATCTGTGCAGTGTTTCCCTTAGCCAAAGCAGGAACTAAACAGAAACAAGGAAAGTGGTGCAAGCTTGCTGCCAGTCACTGTACATTGCGTCCTACGCAGCGAGACAAGCCAGAGGAGGTGGGTGAAGTGGGTGCTTAGGTCCTTGGCAGTGAACTTCCCCTGACGCCAACACCAGGATTTCAGCATTGCCACAGTTCCCCCCATCCCCACTCCCTTTTTGCAACATCTTGCCCTGATCAAGAGTTCTGCAGATCTTGAAAGTGCACACATTTTTTGTGATCTTTTGGTTGGTCTAATAATAGTATTATACTACTATAGATACCTACCTTCCCTTTATATGAGGGAGTTTTCAAAATATGCATCTAAATATTCATTTTCTTGCAAAATTTGTATTTAAAAAATATATTTTCTTTCTGTGCATATATGCATGTACTCTTTCAAAATTCTCTCAGAAGTATTGCACATTTAATATGTGTAAACTGCTGGGAACTGTGTCATAACATTCAAAGAATTCTGAAATTCTGATAGCTAAGTTGCAATCCACACTTCTGATAGCTAAGTTGCAATCCACACTTGAAGAGGTGCAAATCCTCTCTAGAGCAGCTTTTTCAATGTCGCTGAGAACCTTTTTATGCCATCCTCATTCCCCCTGTTCCAGCTGCAATCATTTTGCCTAAACCACCGACATCTGCACTGCAACCCTGGTCTTTGGCATTTTTAGGCTGCTGTGTCCACCACTGAAATTCAGGATTAACTGCTTTTACTTTTTGACATTTCAGAAAGGTTTCTGGCTTGTCCAGACCTAGAGACTGACCTGCAAAAATTCAGGCAGACTAGTAATTCACATAGTTTTACCTTTTGTCTGTCTCTCGTATGCTTTTTTTCAGAGACAGACAGACTGGTACATTGCTATAACATTTGCTTTAAGACTCTGAGAGAGATGGATTGCCAAGGACAGAAATTGATGGGAACTGAAAAGATGCAGGGAAAGGAAGAGACAAGACAAAATGCGGCACAGAGATGAAGGAAAGCAACTGTGACAAAGGAAAGGTAAATGAGAAAGTTGAGAGAGAAAAGGAACTGAAAGGTAACAGAAGGTTATATAAAGTAACAGTGATAAGCAGGAGATGGGCAGCACCTCCAGGAAAAACATTTCTGAGTGATATATTTCCATCTTTGTGGCACTTTTTCACTTCAGATGAATAAAACCTGTCCCTTCATAGTCTCAGAGCATTACACCTTCTTGCAAGCAGGTGTGGCATGCCTGGCACACTTGGCAAGAGCAGATCTGCAAAGTAGATCTACCCTGTTGATTACTTCCTAGTAGTGTTCCAAGTAAGTTTAACTGGAAATTATAGTTCCCGTTTGAAAGTGTGGGCAGAACTACAGTGCCAATCCAAATCATTTCTGTGCACTGCATGCACAATCCAGGAATGTCATCTCGCATTTTAGTGGCAGATGGACACAAGAGACTTTGCAAGGTTTAAAGGCCAACTACAGCATGTATTCAAATTTAAATAGCAGAAAGAGCATTCTAGGATAATTTGTTGTAGTTACTTCTGTATGCCTTATAACCACTACGCTAACACAAATTGAACAGTCATTTTCGTTAGAAAGCGAGACAGACAGACAGAGAGAAGGGATTTGACCTTTTTATATACAGAGCTAGCAAACAGAGCATTTGGACATTTATGACATTAGTCAGCATGTAGAACTAGCCAGACATATCAATTGATTGAATGATGGCGATTATTAGAAGCAGCTACAGAGAGCCCTTTATTTTCTCAAATACCAGATTGGCATGCAATACCTACTGAAGTGTGAGGGTTTGCCTCCGCAAGGTTTAATTGTGCATCATGCTGCAATGAAGCGCAGAATCACTGCTTAACATTGCATGTGCAAGTGATTTATGGGGATATCAGACTGCATTATTAAAACTGTTATGGAGACTTCTTGGGAGCCTGGCAAAAAAGTGCATAATACTTATTCACAAAGTAAAAATGCAGCTTTTTCTCTGGGGACAGGAGACCAAAGATATTCACAGCATCCTTACTCCCTCCACCCCACCACAGATGCTTTGGCACAGCACTATTGTATGAGCGGTAGGGAAGGCTGCTGTGCGGATAAAGCCAGTGAATTTAAGAAGGTGCCCAACTGCTCTTTATTCATGTATCAGGCTCAGTGCACAGAAGCTCCTGCCCAAGCCTGACAGGAGATTGTCATGATGGAGCTCCTGCACATCTGACCCTGTGGGTGGCTATGTTTTCCATTCCTCCAGACCAACTCCTGCTTCTGGTGACATCTCCACCAGCAACACAAGACTTTTGCTGAGCTTTGCCAAGAGAGAATGAGTGGAAAAACCCAGTGGCTGTTGTGGGAGGCCAAGGGGAGAGCACTGAGCTATGAATCAAGAAACCTCAAATGTTTGCTCAAATGTTACCTCTACCATGAGCTGACTAGGTGGCCTTTGGCAAGATATCTTCTCTCTGCTTCATACTCTCTATCTGTAATATGGGAGGTTATGGCACTAGGCTACCTTAACAGGCTGTTGCAAGGACTACATTTAGACAGCTCTTCCCAACTAACAGCCATGGGAATTGCAGCCCAACACACCTGGGGCACCAGGTAGCGGTCTGATCTGGATAATACATGTGAATTGCTGTGAACTCTTGAAAATGTGAAATGAAGTGTCAAGGTATTAGGGACAGAAACAGACTACTGGTGGCTGGAGGACTTCATGGGATAACACCAGTAGAGGTGGCACATTTTGGGTGCCTGAGGAAGTCATTCCAAATGGCATGACCCTTGTCATGTTTAGTGCCAATGGAGGATTTTCGAGTGTTCAAATTCCTCAGCTTAGGAGCAGAGTTAAAACATTAGCCCTAATTTCACAGATCTGTTTACAGACAAGAGAGATAGGCTCCTCCCCATTTGTCAAATTTGGAGGACAGGAGCATGAGTTGTCATTGTACGGTATGCAGCTGAGCCAGGAGAACTGCCCCTTGAGTGTTGTCCCCCATCTTCCACTGTTATAAGCACCTCTCAGCTAAGTGTGGGAAGGTAAGACGCATCACCCAATTTGCCTAAACATACAAGTTATGAAAGGCTTAGGGGGGCAGTGAAAATCGCTCAATGGCCTAGGCAACCAAACAACACTCCCTCCCTTCCAGTGCTGCAAGCAGCACGCAGCATCCCATGACAAAGTTGTCCATGTGCTGGATTAAGCTGTGCAAGGACACTCCTTCCCTTTGGCCAACCTCCCAGAACAATGTGGGCAGCTGGAAGCACTGGCCTAATTGCCCAGGCTGCAGAACTACATAGGCATCTGGGTGATGTGCCCTCCGTTCCCATTCTCTGCTGGCCCATGGGACAACAGGTAAGTAGTAGCTTGGTTCTGCAGGGTTCTGTTTCCAAAGAGCTACACAAGGTGGTCATTCAAGGTGAAATTGGGGTGAATCGAGGCGAATTTCATTTTGTGCTCTCCCCCTGCACTCCCAGTTTGGCTCATCTCAGCTTCATACACTTTATCTTACTGCTTACAACAGCCCTCTAAGGAAGGTCAGGACTTGGCCATAGTTTGTCTGAGCTTGAGATATTTGTCATATTCCATTTGGAGAGGTGGGATTCAAACCAGGGACTTCATGATTTGTAGCCACTGCACACTAATTGGACACCATCTGCCAAAACATTTTCTTGTGCACTCCATATAAAGGAATGAAAACTGCACAAGAGCATCGTTCATTTTCCTGTGGTTTGTGTAGAAAAGTTTTCTGACAGACTTTGTGGCGTGAGTCAGACTGGCTGTCTCCTACACTGCTGCACTTAATTTCTGAGACACTGCCGCATGCTGCTTGGCTTGTGGCAGGGACACCTCTGGATGCCAGCAGAAAAGTGGAACAAGGGCAGGAAGTTAAAAGAGCAAAATAAAATAAAGAACTGGATCCACCAGAGGACGCTCACCTGACTGGCTGGTGCTAACATTGATGGCAGCGTACTGTGGAGAATCTGGGCTCAGCTCAGTCACGAGGTTGACCGCCTGGATCTCAAAGGTATACTGCACACGAGCCAGGAGGTTGGAGACTTGCACCCGGCTCTCTGTCAGCCCCACTTGGCGTGGCTCAAACTGGACACTGTCCCCACAACGCACACAAGGCCCTGGTGACCCGGTTGGGCACACTTTGCAGAGGACATTGAAGAAAACATCCTTTCGCCCACCCAGGTCCTTTGGGAGGCGCCAAGTCAAGAGAACATTCGATCCAATGATCTCATAGCTGAGGTCGCGGGGGGCGGATGGGGTGCCTGCAAGAAATAAAACCAAACAAAACACAGAATAAGACTGTGGGAAACAGAGACCGCGAGGAGCACAAGACAGGAAGGCAGGAGCAAAACAAAACCCCAAGAATGTTTATTGTTCCCTGCCCACTTCAAGAAAAATTTTGCCTCCGTGGCATCAGAAGGATACAGTTCTATACTCATAATTCTGTGCCTCAAACAGAGATGAAAAGCGTTTGCTCTCTGGAGACCTCTTCCTTCAAAAAGACAGGCTAATTACACTGAAAAAGCCAGAAGTATCTAGAAGAGGAATCATACATTACCTTTGAGCTGTATCTTCTTTAAGAACATCCCATGGGGAAATGAGCTTTGCAAAGGAACATGGATGGAAATGGGAGCTTCAGGTGAATAGGGCCGGAAGGGAGGGAGTAAACAGAAGAGGGAAGGAGTCATGGAGGACGTTGAGGAAAAGGAAGCTGGCCCAGACCAGGAGGGAGGAGAAGGAGAGAAGCATGGGAGGAACAGCCTTGAAGGAAACAGCACCCACGAAAAGAGGGGAAAGGCAATCCCATGTAATGTCCTTCATTTTTACTTACTGGTACAGGGGGCATCAGAATTGTCCGAAGAAGAACGGTAGTATCGGGTCAGGCAGGCACATTCACTGGAGCCTGGCGTGGAAGAGTAACTGTGGGCAGGACAAGGGCTGCATGGGGCATCTCCCACCGATGCCTTGAAGGTGCCAATGGTGCAAGCTAAAGATGAAGAGAGGGGGAAGAGGGACACCTGTTAAACCAGAAAGGGCAACAACTATCCTTTCACCTTGCTGGCTCCATTGTCCAAGGTGAGATGAGCACAACAGATGACTGGACTGTTCAAACGGCATACGGCAGCTCCAGTCTGTTAACCTTCTGCTGGTAGGCCATGGCCCGGCTTCAGGTGGGCCAGAGGAGGTGAAATGCAAGACAGTGACACCACGGGATAAGGAAGGCAGGGAGAGAACCATAGTCGGATCTGAACTGTGAGATCTAGTTGAAGTAAACATGATGCATACGATAAATGATTTACAAGGTTAGTGTTAAAGCAAGCAGCTTGGGCAATTTAGACCCTGGCCTACTTCTCTTTAGATGGTTTTGAATACAACTTTTGGTGTGAAGCACACAATTTACATTTCCCTCCCTGCTCACCATGTTACAGCAAAAACACAAACCAAAAGCCCCTGTTTGTCAATCCAGATTGAGAGACTCTGAGGATGTGCAGTTTTATTTTTTAAACTTCTTTAAATAACATCCATCATGCCTCCTGGAATAAAGTGGGGGGGGGTGTCCTGATATAAATATATTCTACTGTCCTGATATAAAAACTGTTTGCTTGAGAATATGCCCCCCTTGGGGACAGAAAAGGACAATATACTTTTGAAGTAAAGGTAATAAAATGGGCATCCATAACCATAACGTGTCTAGAATTATTTTAAAAATAAGAGGAAAAGAACAACTCTGTGGCAAGCAGAGCCAGTTCCAGTGGCCTGGGCATGTCCATGGCAGCCCAGGTGTTGATGCTTGGCTTGTTTGCCACAGACCCCACCACCTGTCACTCTCTGGGTGGTCAGGGGGTCTCCAGAACTGATGGGCCCTGGACTTCGCATCCACAGACCAGCCCAAGAGGCACCACTGAGGCCCTGGATCTGGAAAGGCTGAAGACCACTCCCCCAAAGTACAATACCCTTGTAGATGAAAGAAAAACAGAGCAAAGCTCAGGTGTGCTTGCTTTTACCAAAAGGTCCACGATACAAAAAAGAGCAAAAAATGGGGAGGTATAAAAAACACGCACCTTCAAGTCAACCTCTCTGCCACCCCAGCAAAATTATACAAAGAACTTCCAGCTCATTTTCAATAAAGTTACCCATGTGAAGAGCACATCTGGATTGAAAGTCTTTTGCCCCATAGTCAGATTCCACTTGATATTAAAAGCCTAGGTGACCTGCTGACCCAGCTCTGACCTGAAACCAGCCTTTTCTAGTTTGGAGTTTCTTTTGAGCACACAAGTTCCTTTCGTCTTGTGTAATCACAGTTTACTTTAGCAAAGGAGACTGTTTGCTAAAGAGAATCTATTCTAGCTGCCCTTGCAGAGGTGATTGTGATGAAGAACTCAAAAAGCTTTCTTCCCTTCAGTCACGCAGGCACGGAGTGAAGGTATATTTGGAGAGTGACAATGTGAGACGGGACAATTCCCATGAAAGGAGGCCTTCAGCCAGTTAAACAGCTGAAGACTCTTCTACGTCATCCTCAAATGAATATGGAAAGATGCTGCTCAGCAGGAAGCATTTCACAGGCGTTTTGCTGCAGACTCTGCTTTGTTATTTGAGAATTATTGCCCTCTGAGTATGCTGCTTGTTTCCTGGAAGCTCATGGAAGTAATTTTAATATGCAACCTGCAAGCTGGCTTGGGTATTCCAAAGGAGGGCATACAAGCTTCTGGCAGAAGCACGGGACCTGTGCATTTTATTCCTCAGCAATGCTGTGCCTTGAATAAAGCAAATAAAGTTCATCTAATAGCCAAGAGTCTTTGCCCATATGATTCTAAGTGTGGGTGCCTGCCCACTGCTCATGAACTGGGGAGCCTGAGGAACTCTGGACATGAAGACAAACATTTTCTTTTCGGACAATCTGTAACAATTAGATGCACTTATAATTGTTTCCGATCAACATATGTAATGCACGTGCAAGATTTAAATACTGTCAAGTCCTTCTAATGGGGAGAGCGATTTGTGGTCCTCCAGACATTTGGTCTACCACTCCCATGATCTCCCACCATTGGCTGTGCTGGCTGGGGCTGATGGGAGTTGTGACCCCACTGCTGTTTTGGCCTACAAGTATCCAGAAAACAAAAGTTCAAGATAGGATTGTGCAGTGGATGGGTATGTCTCTCCCTAGACATACAGCACATTCTTCCTTATAGAGTCATACAGTTGGAAGAGCCCTAGCAAGTCATCAGGTCCAACTGTTTCCTCATGCAGGAGTCAAGTTACCCATCCAGATTTCAACCAGGCCTGACCCTGCTTTGTTTCCAAGATTAGGCAGGATCAGGCATAAGCAATGCAGTTGCATGGTGGAAAGCTTAGCACCCTGGACTTTGAAGCCAGCAGCCAAGCTCAAATCTCAGTAGAACCTGTGTGTCCCCTGGTCCTTTGAGAACCATTGTGGTGCCATGGTTAGAGTGCTGCATTGGAAGATCCAAGTTCTAGTCCTCACTCAACCATGAAGCTCACTGGGTGACTTTGGGCCAGGCACAGACTCGCAGCATCATCTACCTTCCAGGGTTATTGTTGTTGCTGTGGGAACAAAAATGGAAGTGCAGGAGAGTGATGTAAGCCACTTTGGGTTCTCTGCCAGAGGAAAAGAGGTGGGATATACATGTAATGTAATGCTACACTAATAAACCATTTTTGGTTCCATGATGGAAAAAGATAGATTCAAAATAGGCACCAGAGTTCAGAAGGTCAGTATTTATAAGCAGTAAGACATTTTATGCCCCATTAAAATTATGCCAAGGCCCTACACTTTGGCTTGGGCTTGCTGGTTTGTGTGACCCCCCCCCCCCCCCACCAGTGCCTTAGAGTACCAGTTTGGCAAATGTAGCTGCTGGCAAATGATCAACCTTTCATTTTCTTCCAGCAAGCTGCTGTATATATTTTCCTTTTTTTCAGAACTGAAACATGGTTGGTGAGGCTGGGATGTGGGAGAAAGGACTAGAAAAACAGGAATGAAAAATAAAATAAAATAAATACATTTTCTAGAGTCAGCAGCTAGTAAAGCTTTACACATTTTGTGGAGTAATTAGCTCCCCTAATATGCTGGCAATTTAGGTATAACCAAACACCTGCTTCCCAAGTTCCCAGGCGGCACACAACTTAGAATGAAGGAAGCGTCCTGAGTCAATGCAGATCTAACTTTTTCTGGAGTTGTTTGTTTATGCATCACTTCATTAAAAATGTGTCCAAGATAATGTACAATTAAAAATACCGGGGTTACAAAACAGTGTTTGCAGTCACAGGCTAATTGAGAGCTTGTGCATAGATTCTCACCATGCTTTTTCCATGCTGTTACCTTCATTCAGTTTAACTGACAGGCTGAGGTCATCCCATGAAGCTGAAAGATGGGACATTCAGGACAGACAAAAGTGTATTCTTGAACCATTGAATTTGTTTAACAGTGCATGGTAATGGCCAACTTAATTGTTCTAAGTTGCCCAGTGAGGTTCAGATATTGAGTGGTTTAGAAATTTTATTACTACTACTACTTGGACAAATTCATGGAAGATAAGGCTATCTGTGGCTACCAGTCCTGATGGCTAGATGACATCTGCAGTATCAGAGGCAGTGTGCCAAAGTACACCAGTTGCTGGAGAAGCAAAGAGAGAGGGGTGCTTTTGCACCCCTGTCTTACTTGCAGACTTCCAAGGGCAGCTGGCTGGCCACAGTGGGAAACAAGACACTGAGCTAAATAGGATCCAACAGGAGTCTTCTTGTATTCTTGTTTCGTACCTTTTTTCTCTGTCTATCAAACCAAGATAGCTCCTCAGCAACCCTGTGGTAGCAAACCACAGGGATGAACGTGAACGACCTCAAATGGGACTCCCGGGAGCTGGGTGCCATGAAGATGAGGACTGAATGATGCCAAAGAACTAGTCCAAGGAATGAGAAGCACTGAAACAGCATAACCCACCTATGGACTCAGGGCATGATTCAGCTGATGTTTCCTCAGCTGTGAGAGGCTGATGGGAGTGGCTAAAGAGGCTGGGTCTCACCCTAAAGTTTCACAGTTTTCGCCCCTTTCTCAGGGGATCCAAGGAGAGACCTGTAATCATGGATAAGAGGCCAGAACCAGTGGGGCAGGCTATATTTTTCTTGGCCCATCAAGAACTTTTGTTAGTTGCTTTGTCCTCCCATGTCCATCAAGCTCAGTCCTCATTTACTGGGGGTCCTTCCATGAACTCCACAGGAGCCATTTGGCTCCACCTTCACGCTAACTGCCAGGTCCCATTGTGAGCCAGTGTAGAGTAGTGGGTAAGAGGACGTTACTAGGACTCCAGTGAGCTCTAGTCCCCGCTCAGCCATGGAGCCAACTGGGTGACTTTGGGCCAGTCACAGGCTCTCAGCCCAACCTACCTCACAGGGTTGCTGTTATGAGCATAAGAGTGAGATGCAGAGAATTATATAGGCCCCCTGAGTTCCTTGAAAGGAAAAAGGGTTGGGTATAACATAATAATAAAATTCGTATCTTCCTGTCCTGCCAGGTATGAACTTTGGGAGACCTGGCAAGCCTAAGGTTAACAGGTGGGTGAGGGAAGCATGACTAGGGGGAGAAGAGAAAGGCTTAGCAGGAAACCATTTTCCTGTATTTAATAATGGGCCTGCCACTGAGTAAGCAATTCAGGCTCTCAAAGCAGCTTCTTTCCAATAAACATTGATGCAAGCAATGGAAACCTATGTCTGTTTTGGCTTCTCTCAGCTTCGCATTTTTCCAGTTTTTGAAACTATCAAAGTTGGAGTTTCTGGTTATATAGATTCTACTCAGACCTTATGCCATCAATACTCACAGACACATACAGGGTGCCACCTAGGAGACTACAATCCATTGACAATCTCCCAGGAAACAACACCCGAGCTGACATGGAGCTTTTACACCAACTTCCCCCACAAAGGTGGACTACAGTCCTTCAGGAATGCCATTGCTGCTGGTGTTACAGCACACAA